AGTCTCTGGTTGGTTGTTTAGCTGAGTTGTTGTATATACCCGAAGATGATAATAACACTTGGGTTGTACACACTGCCTCACCCTCTGTGGATGTATCATTTAACAATCTGCTCGAAGTGAGAGAAAAAAAAAGGCACACAAGTAATAAGTTAGAAAAAAAAAAATCAAAAAGAGGATTCGTGGGGTCCAAGATCTGTACAAACATACTATCATTTTTATGTTATACGGGTAGTAACCCATAAGTGCTCCGTTTTACCTGTAACACAAGCCTGAGTCTCAAGAATCTTAGCGCAGTGCACGAACTCCGTTGCACCGGCGAGGATCCTTAAATATTTTGAGTAGATTTTTACTCAACATTTTGCCCAGGCAGTGCCGTGTGGCTACTCGTTTTAGATTTCCAACTGCCAAAGCATGTTTTTACGTTCGCAACAGTACAGCGTCCGATATTACTACCCAGAGACGAGGGGAAATTAATAGAAGTCCACATGAAAAAATCCCAACCTTTACCGGGTTCTGAACCCGAGACATCCAGCACTCGAGGCGAGGGTCGTGAAAAACTTTTGGGTAGATTTGTAACTCCAGCACTCGAGACGGAAGCCATGCCATCTATGTTAACTGTAACCAAGCAGTTCAGCCCTAGGAAGCATTTTTTACTGACAGACTCGATAGAAATAAAAGCCAGAGTACAGCAAAACTGCATTTAGTACTTTTTTTTAGAGCAGAACATCTGGGAGGATGGCAAGAGAAAGACCAAAAAATACATGGATAAATATTGTAGCTGGAATCTGCGAAAATCTGAACAAATCCATTACAGAAGCCAAAAGAAATACAGAAAATCAAGACACTGGGCTACAGCCTGGTGTCAGTGAGACAACAAAAGAAGAAGTACAAGCATAAAGGGTGTGAGAGTACAAGTATGAAATGAAGGACAAACGACGTATGTGTGTGTGAGGGGGGAGGGGGAGGGGCATTCAGGTGCTTTCCAGTGGGGGGGGGGGGACTTATTAAAATACAAGCTGACCACCACAATCGGACCACAGTAAACTCCTCTTATTGTCAGCTGTCCCAATACAGCTCTGTTATAGGGATGATGGCGTTTCTGGAATATGCTTTTATTGGAATTCTCACTAGAGTTTAGGCTTTTTGAGCCCCTGCTGGCAAGCATCACTTCAAGGGTCCCAGGTAGTTAGCATCCTTTGGATATTTTCTCCAGGGTGTGCCAGTGTGTTGGGAAATGAGCAGGCAGATAGATTGGCCAGTTCTGCATCACTTGGTGGTGAACTGATGTATGACAAGCTGGATGTTGTGAGGGCCTTTTGGGAGCGAGTGAACAGTACCGACGAACAGATAGTTCACTACGGTCTGAGGAGACTGGCACTGCGAGGAGTTACAAGGTGATCTGACAGACGCTTAACACTCAGGGGAAAGGCGAGACGGATATACAATCAGACAGTTATTGGTACCATCGGAATTTTAACTCTTCGATTGCTTCTGAAGATGGGGACAGAGCGCTTAAGGGGGTGTCCCGAGTGCTGTGATGTCAATTCTAAATTCAACATTTAACATTCAGTACCTGCTGTTAGTTAATCGTTTAGTACGGAGACTTGAGAAAGAACATAACCTACTTTACGATTACCTATATTGGTCTAGATAATGACAATGATTACCATTAGGGTCGTTCGCGACATCTAAAAATATCATGAAAAGAATCCACTGCCTCGCCTTTAAGCATGTCGTAAGAGTCGACTATCTCAGGGCTTTCTTCGAAGTCTGACTTCATCTGCCTGAGAGGCAAGAAGCCAACAGTCTGTATACAATTAAGCTGAATCTGACAAACAAATGTGCACGCAACACTCAGGTTTTGGAACATGACTAAAGTCCAATAATGGACAAACAACAAGAACTTTCCGCTGAAGTTTACAGCCTGTGAACGCGAAGAAGAAGATGATGAATGAGAAGAGAGGCAGCGAGAGAGGGAGAAAGAGAGAGAGAGGGATGGGGGGAGAGGGAGAGAGAGGAAGAACAGGAGTAAGTTTATTAATTGATGAATTGTTTGGAGTCCATTAATTCTATGTACTCACGCTAAGCGAACCAGCTGTCGAGTTTCGAGAGCAAACTACAAATGCTGAGTGAAGATAAATGTTTGTCTGAAGTCTGTTCCAACTGAGCACAACACAATGTAGCCTGTGATCTCGTGTACAATCTCATAAGTAACACTAGCCCTTCATTATCTACCAAGTCTCGACAAGTAGAGCACTACAGTGACACACCACAAGGATAGCAGATGATGGCTGTCAAATGTGCTAGGGCATGGGAGCTAAGAGACTTTGATCTAATAAAAAAAAAGTAAAGTTCCCTTCTCACACCTTTCGGCGCATCGGGCATATGGGCAGAGCGTCCCATATTTTTACAGACCATCAGCACTCTGTGGGTAATGATGTAGTCAGCATTACGCCGGCTGTCTTTACTTTCCCAGGACAGCCCATCCTGGTACCCATTTTAGGCTGGGTCGACCTGCGACGTCCCATACCACGATAAAAATCCACGCAGCCTGCAGTGGGTTTCGATCGCGGTATGCTGGCTTACGAGTCGGACTCGCAACGCCTTAGCCACGGACGCCGCTAGACTTTGATCTACTGCACCCAAATTGTCTATCTTTGTTTTTTAGGGTGGGGGTGGGGGGGGGGGGGTTTCAGCCCCCACGAGCTGGAGGGTGCGAGATTTTAGCACAAGTAATAATCTATTTTTTTTTTTAAAGGTGGGGATGTGAGCCTTAGCACCAAACGATTACAAGGAGCTAAGTGACCGATTTAACCATCTAAATTCGTTCTATTTTTAAAATTTATTTATGCATTTAAAATTATTTCAAAAGTTTTTTATTTATTGGTAATTCACCTTCTTCTTCTTCTTATCCACCATTTACTACAGGTGTTGGCGGAGATGTAAGGATCGTTTGTGCCCTTTTTCCAATGCATTGTACAAGTCAGTGTTCATTTCTATTAGATTGCTCCTGATGATGTCGCTCCATGTCTTGCGTGATCTTCCCCTTGCTCAGTGTTCATTATATTTCTTAAGCGTGGGTCTCTATGGCAGTTGGTACCGGGGCATTCTCTTCAGATGGCCAAACCATCCCACTTGTTGTTCCTTAAAGAACTGTGTGATTGGTTTCAGGCCTAGTCTTCTTTTCATTTCTCCATTTCTGGTTTTATCTCTTCTTGTCATACCTGCAGCTCTACTAAGACATCTCATCTGTGTTGTTACGATCTCCCGCTCATTAGTTGTAGTAAGGGTCCATGTTTGGCACTGGTAGCACAATGTCGCCGAACACACCGTTCTTATGAGAATTGCTCTGGTTGACAGAGGTAATTTACCACACACAAAATTTAAAAAATAAAACTTAAAAACAGGTAAGCCCTTTGAGACCCCGCCCCCTAGAAAATTATAAGGTAGCGATGCGTCCACCCACCAACCCCTTCAGACCACCAATCCTTTTTGGCCCCACATGTGTCACATAACAGCATTAACACCCCTACCACAATAGACTTGCCCACAGTCCGGACACCCCCATATTTGTTGGTGTAACTATGAACTCGGATAGTCCGTCCGTAGATATATAGTTCGTTTGTTGTTGGGGAGTCCAGCTGTGAGAAACTTATATAAATCGCTCCTGGATTGATTCTTCTGGGCGTATAGTGTCTATATGTAGGATAGGCCACATTTTCTACGCCTGTTCAAGCGTAATAGTTTGACCGCTTTACAGTGTGCTGGAGCCAAATTCTCGCCCCAACTGTCGTAGATAGGGACTATAATTTTATACGTCACTTTTTCTTGGTCCGTTCAAGTGGTTGGAGGTGTTTCAGTTCTGTGGCCACTTGACCGTTAATATTTTTATTCGTGAGTTTTCCTAAAAGGATTTAAATAAATATATTTGTACTTAGTGCCTGTGTGTGTTTGCAAGAAAAGGTAAGCAGAATGTTAATGCGAATCTGTTTGTCTACGATCGCCTGTGACGAAAGACGAGGCACTTTTCCGAATACCGGCCCCATATTATTTAAAGACAAAAAATCCCATAATGTTTTGGACAGTAAATAATATGGGGCCGGTATTCGGAAGAGTGCCGAAAGACGATAGATAGCGATCCTGGTTGGAATGCACTTTCGGCTGTAATTTCTCCGTGAATTCTTCTAGCCGGCTTTCTAAACATATTCGGATCAATCAATCCACCTGTCTGGAGTGTATTTATGGTATTGTTAAACTTGTATGATCAGTTATTATCTTTTAATTGGTCTCTGAACTAGTTGAGTTGGTGGACCGTTGGAAACAGACAGAGCTCTTCAAGGAAAGCATGACGTCATATCCGCTGTTGCTAGGAGCTACTGTAACCACAACAAGCTCAGACTTTCGAAATGCTTTTGGGAGTATATTCTTCTCTCTAAGTTTTGAATTCATCTACTCTACCTTATCTTTCCAACTAGTGAAAAGGGTATATATGGAGGGATGGGGGATGATATAGATCTGTCTGTCTTTCGATACAAAACAGGATTCGGAAACTATTGGAGTTAATAGAAATGGCTGTCTGGCTCTCGTACTCACTCTGAGAAACTGTAAGGGCTCAAAGATATATAAAGTCAACCTTCATGGTTTGGACTAGCCCACATTTACCTCTGAGCATGTGGAGAGCGTGAGGAGAGTGATTAACAAGGTGCGTTAGGTGAGGTTTGCTCATATGTGTTGCCTTGTTGATTTCAGGATATTTGAAAATCCAGCATGTATCCGTGTGGTGTCCGGTTCTCCAGCTAACCAGCAACTGGGAAGAAACCGACTTGTGTTGACCAGCCATCGCCTTATATATCAGACTGTTGTGAAGTATACGTCCACCAGTCTCAGGGAAGTTGATTGCCATTCGATCAATCCCTGGGGTCATCTTAATCGTACAGAGACATTCTGAAAAACGAGACGGTGCAGAATTCCACCCTCCGGCACCCTGAGGAGCTGCAGGA